ACAGACGGCTCTGCCTCCCGGCGGCTCACAGCCTCCCGTGTCCTTGCCGCCTCCCAGAGTTCTGTGTCACTCTCGAGCGTGTTTTCCGTGTGTGCACATCTTGAGTTGTGGTTTTCTTACCGTTATATTTTTCTTTCTCCGTTTTGTTTTTTCCTTGTTTTCTTTTGTTTTTGTGTGTGTGTGTGTGTCCATCCGTCTGTCCACACGTCCATCTGAACTCGGTCTCTACATCCTCCTGCCTCCCACGACCCTCCCGGCCCATCCTCCTCCCCGGCCCCCGCCGGTAGCCTCGCCCCCCACCCCTGTCCCCCCTGGGGGGCCCCCTACCCTCGGCACTGCCTAACAGACCCCCGTCCCCCCGCTCCGGCCGTGACCCCTTGGCCATACTGAGCGAGATCAGTAAGTCGGTCAAACCCAGGCTAGCAACCCTCCGCAGCCTTCGAGGCAGCCGTGGGGTAAGTGAGGCCTCGGGGCTGGAGGACACGTGTGCGCCCCAGCCTGCCCAGCGGCCGGGTGGCGGGACCCTGGGCTCGCTTCCTGCCGCTGGCTGGCCACCCCCTCCCCGGGGTCGCCTGACTTAGACCTGCTTTGCTCTGTGCATGGCCCTGCCCCCCAGGACCCCCGATGGGGAGGAAGGCGGACTTGGTAGGTGGCAGAAGTGTGCAAAGCCTGGGAGCTTAGGCGACAGGGTCCCAAATTCGGCGCTCTGCCCACCTTGCAGACAGTGGTGACAGAGGATTTTAGCCACTTGCCCCCCGAGCAGCAGAGGAAGCGACTTCAGCAGCAGCTGGAAGAACGCAGCCGTGAACTTCAGAAGGAGGTGGACCAGAGGTGAGGCGGGCTGGGGGACAGGGGGGCGGGGAGGCAGGAAAGGGACACGGTAGAACGACCAGCGAGTTACCTTTAACTGGAACTCACAGATCTCCCCAACAGACCCCAGGCCCTGATGGCTTTACAGGTGATTCCTGCCACACTTACGAGAGACGGTCACTTCTTACTTTACACGATGCATTCCAGCGAGCGGAAAAGAGTGAAAGTGGTCAGCTTATTTAGGAAGCCAGCCCAATTCGGATGCCCAGATCAGTGGCCGAGAATTGAAGAAAATGAAATTAACAGGCTCGTTTTACTTCCTTTGTCATCTTAGATGCAAAATCCTAGCCAAGCAAATCCAATGGCATATTCAAAATAAGGCCGGGCGCGGTGGCTCACGCCTGTAATCCCAGCACTCTGGGAGGCCGAGGCGGGAGGATCGCTGCAAGGTCAGGGGTTCGAGACCAGCCTGAGTAAGAGCGAGACCCCGTCTCTACTAAAATATATATATATATATATAAAGAAATTAATTGGCCAACTAAAAATAATATAGGAAAAATTAGCTGGGCAAGGTGGTGCATACCTGTAGTCCAGCTACTCGGAGGCTGAGGCAGGGATCGCTTGAGCCCAGGAGTTTGAGGTTCCGGTGAACTAGGCTGACGCCACAGCGCTCTAGCCCGGGCAACAGGGTGAGACTCTGTCTCAAAAAAAAAAAAAAAAAATAATAATAATACATCGTGGGGTGTTGCACAACAATGTGAATATATTAAATGCCCCAGAACTATACACTTAAAAATTGGCCACAGTGGTAAATTTTCTGTTATCTATATCTTACCACAATAAAAAATGTTTAAAAAGACTTAAAAAAAAAAACAACCCACGATCAGTTGGGTGTTATCTCTGTAATGCAAAGATAGTTCAATATCAAAATATGTCAGTCTAATTCACCTTATTAATAGGTTAAAAGAAAAAAAAAAGCTATGTGGTTTTGTCTGTTTAATAACTCAAACACTTAAAATACGAACAATAAAATTTCTGCCAGATTAAAAAAAAAATTCTTTTACTCTTTCCAAGCAACAAAATCCTCTTCCCAGTCCGGTTACATAATAGGAATGACGTTTGCCACTTGTGAACAGGCAGCCAAATTATATTTTGCCGTCTGCATGTAACCTCTTGGGCAGGATGGTTTTTATTGGTGTAAAGTTCCATTCGGAACGCCGCAGTTCCTGGGCTTTTCTGGTGGGGAGGGGTTCAGGGTGCATGGTCTGGAGTTAAGAAAGAGTGTTTTCTTTTTTTTGAGACAAAGAGTCTCACTCTGTTGCTTGGGCTACGGTGCCGAGGCGTCAGCCTAGTTCACGGCAACCTCAAACTCCTGGGCTCAAGCGATCCTCCTGCCTCAGCCTCCCGAGTAGCTGGGACTACAGGCATGCGCCACCATGACATGCCTGCCTGGCTAAGTTTTCTATTATTGATAGAGACGAGGTCTCACTTTTGCTCAGGCTGGTCTCGAACTCCTGATCTCAAGTGACGCTCCTGCCTCTGCCTCCCAGAGTGCTAGGATTACAGGCGTGAGCCACCTTGCCCGGCCAAGAAAGACTGTCTTGATTTCTATTATAGCTCCGTCTCTGAAGTCTTGGGCATCTCCCTTTGTTCCTCAATTTCTTCATTTGTAAAGTACGTCAGATATTTGAACTAGAAAGAAGTTAAGCCCAGGTCTGATACATTCCAAAAATCTATTCTTAGAGACGGTCATTTACCACCTATATATAAAGACATACAGGAGACAGATGGGAGACTAATGATGATAATACCTGTGCATTTATTGATCACTTACTGTATCCCAGGCAGCATTGTAAACATGGATTTATTAGAATTCTCAAATTTTCTTGAGAGATTATAATAGCATAAGGATCTGGACTTGTCTAGTGCCATATTTCTGTTGCTTACCATAGTGCCTGGTATGCAGTTGGCACTCAATAGCGAATAACTGAATAATAGCTAGGACTTACTAGGTACCAGGCACTGTTCTAGTCCTTAGAATGACCCACACAAGATATACCTATCATTGTACCCATTTTCAAGGTAGGCACACTGAGGCAGGGGCTTGATAAAGCCAACCCCACACAACTAGGGAATGCTCACACTTTGAGATTCGAACCCGCGCAGCCCAGCACTGGCATTTGAGAGTGCTTAACCACCGAAGCAAGGCCTCTGGGGTCTTTTGCTTGTGAAATGACGCGGGGCTGCACTTTCTTTTCTGCCGGCCCGCCCGCCTGCCTCGCCCTAGGGAAGCCCTGAAGAAAATGAAGGACGTCTACGAGAAGACACCCCAGATGGGGGACCCTGCCAGCTTGGAGCCCCGGATCACAGAAACCCTGAGCAACATTGAGCGGCTGAAGCTGGAAGTGCAGAAGTATGAGGTAAGGGAAGGGGCCTGGGGAGGGGTGCGGGCCTGCGGGGCCAGCTGAGTCACCGCGGGGTGGGGCAGGGGACAAGGGAGACGCTGGGGTGGGGCAGGGGGTTCCAGCTGTTTCTCATCACAGCCTTGGGTGTACGCGGTGATCTCAGGGCACCCCCAGGTCCAGGAGGGGGCTGGCCCCGGAGCCCTGGGCCTGGATCCCATCCTGTCACCTCCCCGCTCCTCCTCCCAGGCTTGGCTGGCTGAAGCGGAAAGCCGGGTCCTCAGCAACAAGGGGGACAGCCTGGGCCGGCCCGCCCGGCCCCCCGACCCCCCAGCCAGCGCCCCACCCGACGGCAGCAGCGACAGCAGCACCTCGCAGGACAACAAGGAGAGGTGAGTGGGGAGGCCGGGGCAGGTCCCGCCCCAGGGGACCCAGGAAAGGGCTCCTCTTTACCTGCCCGGTCCTCCCCCACCAGCTCGGGAGAGCCTGGCCCGGAGGAGGGCCAGGACGCCCCCATTTACACGGAGTTCGAGGAGGACTTCGAGGAGGAGCCTGCGTCCCCCATAGGCCACTGTGTGGCCATCTACCACTTCGAAGGTGAGGGCGGCCGGGCGGGCTGGAGGGCAGGGGTGCGCGGTGGCCGCTTGGGCAGACGGCGCCTGTGACCCTGACCCTGGGCCCACCCGCACCCCACGACAGGGTCCAGTGAGGGCACCATCTCCATGGCCGAGGGCGAAGGTCTCAGCCTCATGGAAGAGGACAAAGGCGACGGCTGGACCCGCGTCAGGAGGAAGGAGGGCGGGGAGGGCTACGTGCCCACGTCCTACCTCCGAGTCTCGCTCAACTGACCCCTGCCAGGGGCGGGGAGAGGGGGCGCTGCCAGCTGCTGCTTCCGGGCCGCGGGGGGCCCCGGGACCTGTGCACTTTATTTCTGCCCCCGTGGCTTTGGCTGAGACCCGTGTAACCTGCTGGCCCCCTTCCCCATCCCACCTGTCACTCCACGTGGACCCGCTGTGCCTTCCACCACCGATGTACATACTCGTGTTTTCTTCCTGCCGCTCCACTCGGGCCGTTTCGTTTTATATATATATATATATTAAAAAAAAATTAGATAAAGCTCTTGGAGGCTGTGCCTTGTGAGGGGATTTAGATACGGGGCTTGGATCTTTGATCTTGGTGGGTGTCTGTTTGTGACTCTGGTAGAGGGAGACCTGTGTGTGCAGTGGCGCCTACTGAGAACACGTAGTATTTACCCAGTGCCCGTGGTGTGCCAGGCATTCTCCACTCGCCCGCGATCTCATTTAAACATCAAGCTTTAATCCCTGCAAACCCCTCTCGGAAGTACAGTCTTGCTTTCGTGTTGAAGGCGGACACAGAGAGGTCCAGTGATCTGCTAGAAGTCACACAGCTTTTAATGGGCGGAGTCATATTTGAACTCTGGCCTCTGATGTCAGATCTGCAAGTTCTCTTACCATGTTCACAATGTGGCTGCTGCTTTCTTTCTTTCTTTTTTTTTTTGAGACAGAGTCTCACTCTGTTGCCCAGGCTAGAGTGAGTGCCGTGGCGTCAGCCTAGCTCACAGCAACCTCAAACTCCTGGGCTCAAGCAATCCTCCTGCCTCAGCCTCCGAGTAGCTGGGACTACAGGCATGCACCATGGTGCCCGGCTAATTTTTTTCTATATATGTTAGTTGGTCAATTAATTTCTTTCTACTTTTAGTAGAGACCGGGTCTTGCTCTTGCTCAGGCTGGTTTGGAACTCCTGACCTTGAGCGATCCTCCTGCCTCGGCCTCCCAGAGTGCTAGGATTCCAGGCGTGAGCCATCTTGCCTGTCACCCCTGCATGCTGCTGCTGCTGAAGTGTCCCAGCTGTACAGGGGGTGTGGGGTGGTCTTACAGTATAAGGGAGGACCCAACCCCCCAGGATCCATGTGCATTTTTAGGGGGCAGGTGGATTCTTGTAAACCTGCCCCCCTTCCTTCCATTGGTGGGGACAGGTCTCCACTGCCTGTGGCTGCGTGAGAAGCGTAGGGCGATTCCCTTGGTCACCTTGGGGTCCCAGCCTGCTGCGCTCAGTGGTCAGGCTCCAGGCGCTGCGACAGGACGCTGAGGACGCGCTGGAACTTCTCAAGGCGTTGGGGCAGTGGCGCTCCCAGGCCCCGGCTCCCCCAGAGCAGCCTCCGCAGGAAGCCCGTGGTCAGGGCCTCCCTCAGCTCCAGGTTAGGCCGGAATCCTGGAGACACCGTGAATTGGGCTGAGGGCGCGCCCCGACTCCTGCCGCGCCCCTCCCCCTCCCGCACCTGCCTTTCCTCTGCGGACTTGGACCCAGAGGGACTCTGCCCTCCTAAGCCGGACGCTGGGCGGGGTTAGTGGGGAGGGGACCCTTAGGTCACTGCAGGAACGGGCTGGGGTGCTTGAGGGGCTCGGTGGGGGCGGGCTCCGCCAGGGTGCATGGGGGGGCCGTTTCCGGTGCAAGAGTCTGGGGTCCACTCTAGGAGCTATGTCTGGAGATGGGGGGGTGCCCCAGGGGCTGGATTTGAGGAAATGAAAGGGAAAGGTGGGAGCGTCCTGGAGGCGGGGCTGCCCCAGGAGAGGGTGGCTCTGCGCGCAGTGAGGCCGAAGTTCTCCCACCAAGTTCAAGGACTGAGTTGTTAGCTTGGAGGGAGCTGGGCGTTCTTGTGGGGGGGAGGTTCAGAGATCCTCTGGGGGTGGGGTCGCCACAGGTGGGGGGTGGGAGTAGGGCCCTGGCGGCGTGGTCATGGGGGCGGGGCCGCCCCTTTTGGGGTGGAGAGTCCTGCTCCCTTCCAGGCTGCTCCACGCAGCAGGCACTAGCGGTGAGGACCTCCCGGGGGTGGGGGCGGCCCAGTTTGTGCGGGACTGCGGGGCGCGGCAGTCCCGGGGCAGTTTGGGTTTGTGGCATCCGGTTGGAGCAGGCAGCGTGTTCCTGCAGGCGGAACCGCGCGCAGCCCGGCACAGGGGGCGCTCACCTCGCAGGCGCTGGGCCGCCACCTGGCGGAACCTGGGCGCGTCCCGGGCCACCTGGCGCGCGCGGTGGAGGGTGCGCAGCAGCCGCTCGCAGCTCTCGTCCAGCGGCCCCCCGAGTTCCTCGCCCTCCAGGAGGCGCGCCGCGGGTGCCACGTGCGGCAGCGCCACCTCGCGGGGGTCGCGGGGTCCTGCGGAGGGGAGGGCCTCATCTGGGTTTGGGGCAGAGGGCCGAGGGGCGCCCAGGACAGGCGCGAGGGCGCGGCTTGGCTGGACCAGGAGAGCGGAGCCCCACTGGGTCGGGGCAGGGGCGGGGCTTGGGATGGCGCTGGGGCGGGGCCTGAGGAAAGGCTCCATCCCAGTCTCGTGGGGAGGGCGGGGCCTACAGCGAATGGGCGTGGCACGGGCGGAATGGGGGCGGGGCTCGGGGGCAGAGGTAGAAAGTGGAGCCTAGGGCAGGGCGGAACCCGGTCTAGGGCGGGGCCTAGCGCAGGGGGTGGGGCTTGGGATGAGGTCTGGGCGGGGGCCTACAGCGAACGGGCGTGGCATGGGCTGAATGGGGGCGGGGCTTAGGACGAAGGGGCGGGGCCTAGAACTGGATTCCTGCTAAACTTGGTCTGGGGTTGCAGAGGGTCCTCCCGGACCCTCACTCACCAGCGCCCTCATCCAGAGCCCGCATCAGAGGCTTCAGCTCCTGCTCAAAGGCCAGGGCCGCCTCCGTGTGGCTCCGTCGGAGCTGGCGCCACGTGTGCTCCAACCGGGTCACCTGGGGGAAGGGGACCTGAGCATGCCTTCTCTCCCCTCTTCCTGGTCCCCTGCGCTCCGGCTTCCTCCCATCCCTGCTTGCCACGCACCTGGGGCATGAGCAGGGCGCCCATGACCGCGGCCATCCCGGGCAGGTCCCCCGCCGCCCCTGGCCACAGTGCCAGCGCCAGCTCTACCAGTCCCCTGAGCGCGGTCGCGCGTTCCTCCAGCGGCCCAGAGCACCCCAGCACGGCCAGCGCCCCGGCCAGCGCCAGCGTCTCGTGCCTGCGGAGGCGGAGGGCAAGGGTCTGGGGACAGTGGGGAGGTTTGTAATTCGGGGGTGAGGGGAGACCGGAGGTGGCATTGCCCATACCCCTCCTCCCTGGGGGACCGCGAATGGGGGAGATGTTTGCCAACCTTGGGGAGGGGGGAATCAGCCCCCCAACCAAGGTTCCAGGCGGCTGGCTCACCTCTCCAGCAGTTCCACCCTCAAGCGATGCCCATGGGGAAGCGTGAGCAGCTCCAGGCCAGAGGCCACCCCCATGTTGGCCCGCTGAAACCTGGTCACGCCCAGGAGGCCTGTGGCCTGTGGGAGGGAATGGGGAGGTCAGGTGAACAGTAAATACATAGATGAGGTAGGGCCGTGCCGGGCTTCAGCTCTGTCCCCGGGGAGAAGCCACTTGGCAGGTGACTCACCTGGCAGTCTACCAACAGCAGGTGAAGGGCAGTGCTGTCCGGATGGTGCTCCAGGAACAGGCCTCGGAGCTTACGCAGGACTTCGGGTTCCAGGGGCCGATTGTGGGGGCTCAGCAGGCAGGACCGAGTGTCAGGGGGACAGAAAGAGACCTCAGCCTGTGGTCTCCTAAAACATCTGTTCTCTTCTTCCTCCTCTTCCTCCTCCTCCGCCTCCCACCACAAGGAGTCTGGCTCTGGCCAGCTCTGACCCGGGGGCGGCCCCTGGGCACTGGCCACTCTAGGCACAAGTTCACAGTACGTTGGGGGGCGTCCAGAGACATCAGGCAGCACCAGCGAGGGTGTCCGGGGGGGTTTGGTTGGTGCCTTGGCATGAAGCTGCCCATCAGAAGCCCTGAGAGTGTCGGCGACTGTCCCGAGCAGAGCGGGGGCCTTCAGCAACACCGGGTCACTGCCTGTCCGGGGCAGGGCAGCCACGGGCATAGTGGAGGCTCCTGGGGCCACAAAAGAAGAGACAACAGGAGTACACAGAGAAGATAGCTGGGTGGGATGTAGGCAGGGAGTTTATGGGCTACCCACTTCTTAATTCATCCATTATTCAGCCAATAACAGGGTATCCCAACCTATCTTGGTGCAGCTTTGAATGTGACCAAGTTTACCAAAAGAAATGCTACACACTCATGATTTGAAAACATTCTTTGGCCCTTCTGTGGTTTTGTGAATCTTTTTTTTTTGAGACAGAGTCTCACTTTGTTGCCTGGGCTAGAGTGCCGTGGCGTCAGCCTAGCTCACAGCAACCTCAAACTCCTGGGCTCAAGCAATCCTGCTGCCTCAGCTTCCCAAGTAGCTGGGGCTACAAGCATGCGCCACCATGCCTGGCTAATTTTTTCTATATATTTTCAGTTGGGCCAATTAATTTCTTTCTATTTTTAGTAGAGACGGGGTCTCGCTCTTGCTCAGGCTGGTTTCAAACTCCTGACCTTGAGCAATCCTCCCGCATGGGCCTCCCAGAGTGCTAGGATTACAGGTGTGAGCCACCACGCCCGGCCCAGAGCCAATCTCTGAGCCGTGTGTTGTCTTAGTAGACCCTCACCTGGTTCAAGGTGGTCTTCTCTTGACCGCCCCATATGCGCCAAGTCTGCAGGCTGACTGTTGCTCCACTTCCTTTCCCTGGGGGACAGAGGTGAGAGAGACCTGTAGCCCCGGCCTAGGCAGGGCAGCCCTCACCAATACCCAGAAATCCCTGCATCCCTTCACCCTGTATCTATCAGTGGGTCTACCCAAGCAGGGTGAGCTACCTCCGGCAGATGCTCGCAATGTGTGGAGGAGACATCTTTAGTTGTGACAACGAGCAGGGAAGGGAGGGTGGCTTGCTACTGGCATCTAGCGGGTGAAGGCCAAAGATGCAGCTCAACATCCTACAATGCATAGGATAGCCCCCCACAAGCAAGAATTATGGGTCCCTAACTGTCAATACTGCTGACGTAGAGAAACCCCTGGGAGGTGGAGAAACTGTGGTACCTGAGAGGCTCTGCCCGAGCCGGGCTGTCCACGAGGGTGTCCTCGCTAAAGCTACGCCGCAGAGGCCCCTGCCGAGTCACAGGCCTGCAGGCCACAGCCCCTGTGGCCTGGGACAGTGGGCGCTGGGTGGCCACGTAACTGCGAACCAGGGCAGGCACGCTGCGGAATTGTTCATCCTCCAGCTGAAAGAGGGCCGCGGGCCGGCCCGGCCGGGGACGCAGGGCCACACGGAACACCTCGAAGTGGAGGACCGAGCCCCGCCAGCGGCAGGAGATCACAGGGTGGCCTCCACGGGACCCAGAGGCACGAACCAAGAAGTCACCATCTTGCTGAAGAAGAGCTTCGGCCTTCTGTGGGTGGAGGACACCGGGCAGGGGGCTTAGGAATGAGCCCGGAGCAGCAGTTAGTGGTGGCTCCCTCCCCACCGCCCTCCCAAGAAAAGCCACCCCACCGAAACCTCTGTGGCAGGTGGAGACTAGGTGGCTTTGCAACAAACCACTTTCCCCTTCCTCGTGGGCACCTGTGTGGACTACATTTCCCAGGCTCCCTTGCAGCTGGGGTCCAGAGGGAGAGATGGGCAGGGCCAAGGGTATTTTTGGAGCCATTAGGATCCTCCTCCATCTCTGTCACCAATCTCAACGCCACCCCAAAGAAAATGATAATTTAAATATAAAGAGTGACAGTTCCGAAAGCAGCCAAACTTCAAGGCAGTCCCTACGCCCCAATTACCTCTCCGAAGAGACCCTGGCTCTAAGCCCCTCATCTAGGACCCAGGAGTCCTTGGTTGGTCACGGGTGGGAGAGGCTCCCCCTAAATGGAGCCGAGGCCCTGCAGGAGGCAGTACCTGGCGGGACAGGGGGCCGTGGTACCAGGGTTGGCCAGCAAGGTCCTCTCCATTCTGTGGCACCTGCATGGAGCTCTTGGGGACAGAGGGTGCCAGGGCTGAGCTCTGTACTTTCAACAGGCCTCAGTCTTCCACATCTGTAAAATGGGAATAATTAGCCCTGCTTCCAGTGCGGCTGGGACAGGTCCTTCTCTGCTCCTCTGGGTCTTGGAGACAGCAACCCATAGTCTACTAAACCTTAAAATGCAACAATGTGACACACACACACACACACACAAACGCAGACTCAGCCTTCCATATTGGCAGCTACCGCACCTGCAGATTCAACCAACTGCAAATCAAAAATATTTGGAAAAGAAAACCACACAATAAAAAATAACAATACAATAAAAAACAATACAGTAGGCTAACGATTTACATAGTATTTGCATTGTATAATATTAGGTATTACCAGTAATCTAGAGATGTTTATATATTTTATATATATATTTATCCAGAGATAAATATATAGTTATGTATAAAAATATATAAAACCTGGCTACGAGTAACTTGTTTAATTTAGGGTTGGCTGTGATGTCACAGAAAGAGCATGATTCTTGCAAAGGAAGAAGACAATAACATATACATCACTTTCAAAGGTAATGCAATTGTTATGAAGTGAACAAATTAATGAAGATGATGATCTGTGAGAATATCTTTTTTTTCTTTTTTTTTTTTGAGACAGAGTTTCACTCTGTTGCCCAGGCTAGAGTGAAGTGCCGTCGGCGTCAGCCTAGCCTCACAGCAACCTCAAACTCCTCGAGCTCAAGTGATCCCCGTCCTCAGGCCGCTTCCCTCGTAGCTGGGCACTACAGCGCATGCGCCACATGCCTGGCTAATTATTTGCTATATAGTATATTTTTTTAGTCGGTCAATAATTTTCTTTTCATTTTAGTAGAGACGGAATCTCACTCAGACTGTTTCGAACTTCTGACCTTGAGCTCAGCCTGCCTCGCTTCCCAGAGTACTAGGAGTTAGCGTGTGAGCCAGCCGCAACCTGGCAATTGTGATATCTTAATGGAAAAAAAATTATAAAAATAAATAAATAAATAAAATGATGTCATGCCAGCACGTTTTGTAAAAATTCAATTAACAAATTCACTGAACTCTTATTTATGGGACACCGAAGCTATGCCACACAGCTGCTCTAAGGCACTAGAGACCCATCTGTGGACGAAATGAATAGGAAACCCTGCCGTCAGAGAGCTGGCATTCTTTTTATGGGGTGGCGACTAACAAATAATTAGATGATAGACTACACCGGAGCATGGTAGGCAGAGAAACTAAACCAGGGACAGGATATGATCAAGGTTCCAGTGGTGCGGCAAACATTTTTTTTTTTTATATATATTTTTTTTCTTTTTCTTTTCATGTGTCTTTGGTCTCAAAAGCAAACATTTTTGATAACATGGCCAGGTAGGATTTTGAGGGAGAGAGCCCGGTGACACTCTGGGTTAAAAAGAAAAAAAAAAAAAATTCCAGGCAGGAGGAATTTAACTTAACAAACGTCCAAGGCTCCTCATCCATCTACGTTGCACACGCAGGGATTCTTAGAATGTGTGCAAACCTAACCTGGCTGGGCGCGTTGACTCACGCCTGTAACCCTAGCACTCTGGGAGGCCGAGACGGGAGGATGGCTCAAGGTCAGGAGTTCGAGACCAGCCTGAGCAAGAGCGAGACCCCCGCCTCTAAAAACAAACAAACAAAACCTAAACCATGCACTGCTTTAGAATATAACACCACTGTTCACGTGGCGAAAAGGCCACACTTTGTAGCAACGCCAGCAAACGGCAATTTGGCGTTTGCAGATTTTTCCTGCACTTTGGAGCCAGTGCGATTTATTATTCATATGATGATGGCCACATTTAGGTCTCAGGCATTTGGGTAGTTTCCTGATCATCTCGTGCGCCTCTAGCGTCTGGTGGGGAAAATTGCTCCGGGTGGGAGGGAAGAGGACAATCCGCTTCTTGCCCTAAACCCTCAAGGTCTTCTGGGCCTGGAGGGGTCTACAGGGAAATAGCGCCAGGATTCCAGGCTCCTGAGTCAGCAGGCTGCGGCCCGGAAGGGGCAGGAAGTTCCCAGAGCAGCCCCAGCAGCTTCAAGGGCGGAGGGCTGGGCTGGGCGGGGACCCGTGCAGAGCGCTGGCTGCAGGCGCTGCCTACCTGAAGTTAGGTGTGTTTTCAGAATGCCATGCACTTCCCGTTTGTCAGCTGGGCCCAGGCCCAGCCTTGGTCTCAGTCACTGCCAACCCCAACTTCCTGTCTCGGAGCTCCCTTTAGTGGGGAGGGCGGGTGTGGGGCGGGGGCACGACTCGTGAGTTCGGGGACGCACGTGTGCACGGCGGGAGTGAGGTGGGGGGACGCCAGGGTAGAGAACGTGGACACAGACGGACACGAGGACTCACACTTGACACTGAGCAAACACTGATGGGTTGAGCACTGGCTGTGGGCCAGGCTCCGTCCTCGACCCTGGAAATACCATGACACCAAAGAGACCGAAGCCCCGCGCCGCCGCGCCCTGCCCTCCAGAGCTCACGCGCTTCCGAAGAGAGATCACCGGCGCCTCCCGGCCGCACCTAGCGGGAGCCGAGCCCCGCCACCTGTCCGCACCCTCTTCAGGCCCCGCCCCGTGCAGACCCCGCCTCCAACTGTAACCTCCCGGGCGCTCCCCCCGGCCCTTGTTCTCGCCCCGCCCGCTTGGGAATTTTTTGGGGCTACTAACCACGCCCCCTCTGGAATGTACGTCTGTGCCGTCTGTGCCCTTCGGGGAACTCAGCGCATCGCTTCCTTCCGATGGCCCCGCCCCTTGAGCAGGCGGCACCGCCCACCTATCTGACCACGCCACGCC